TTCCATTCTTCAGAATTCTTCCAGATCTAATGTGCATCTCACTATTTGTACACACATACCTCATGTGCACAAAAGGCTATTTCAGTAACTGCGTTTCCTCATGATTGCATACTAAGCTCTGTTCCAATGTGTTACCATTCCAGTGTATAAAAAGCAGGAAAATTGCAATCCTGTTCCTAATTTCTACAGTTTGAAGCATATATTAGTTGATTTCCATAAGCATATGGAGCAGGTCATATCATCTACAGTGATGATGACATTGGCAGGGAACAGTGATGTTACGTCATTAAATTAGCCTTTCTTTTGTAAAGAGGAGTTCATGTGAACATCCCAGTTGGCAACTCATAAAACATCCTCTCTGCTGGAAGGTGGAAATAGAGAGTACCAACTGCATCAAATAGAAATAGTCCTGCCTCCAACTTGGAGGAGGACTTGACTCCTACCCTTGACATCAATCACAAGGCTTAATAACTAACCAATACCAGTGGATCATTCTACTCCCCTGCTTTACAGATTTCCAGTACTGGTAAATTTTAAATATAAGGAACAGATACTGTCTGCATCCTGATGAACTAAATCCACACACAACTAGCCTAACAGCAAGGTAACAATCAAAATGAACAAGCTGATGTGATGACCTCATCTGCAGAGCATCCTAGAGACAGAAAAAAAAAAGAGTACAGTTTGCAAGTCTATAAAACTAAAGCTTACTCAATCTTTTCTTAGCATCAAGTGTAGTTTGCAGAAAGCAAACTGAGTATTTTTGATTGACATTCTGAACCTAAGGAATAATTAGGGGTCAGAAATGCATATTTCCTTATACAGGAAAGGAACAGAGGAATAGGAGGAATTCCTCCTTATAGAGAGGAAACAACACAGAGGAATGATTTCTAACCAAAGTACTTGAAGCCTAGTCAGAAATCCAAATAAAGCAGTAACAACTCAGTACTCCATCTTCAGAAGAAAGCAGTTTAAAATGCACCTTACAGATGTTTGTTCAGAAACTCGGTAGCAGTACATTTTCGTGATTCATTAGCTCGTAATAGTCCTATGACAAGTTAGCATCTCCTTGCTCCTCAGTATCTAAGTCTACTCCGCATACAGAAAACAGGTTGAGATTGCTAGCTGTTGAATTTCAGAAAGTGTCTAGAAAAGCCCAGCCTCTTCACTACAGTCCCCAGACACTGTACGAGTAAAGAGATTACAATAGGGTCAGACTTCCTTAACTACCCCTTGGAAAAGCTCCCCAGCTGGGGCATTCCTCTGGTTGGTAATTCCCTTCTCTAGCACAGAATCTCTAAAATCAGTGAAACAGCGGCCCTGTCCGTGGTGCTTGGTCACAATACCACACCACCAGGGAGACCGCTCTGCTTGCCCCAGCTCCAGAGCAGCTGGTTACAAAACACCAAGACCAAAATGGCTAAAAAACAAGTTGAAAACAAAATAGACAGCTATTCAACAGAAGACAGCAAAAAGTTGAAACAAAGGACTCGCACTGTTGCCAGCAAAGACATGTTAAGATAACAGGGCTTTCACCTGAGTCTTCAAAGTCTTCAGAACTGAACCCTGTTGAAAAGGTTAAGTAGGCTTTTGTTCAGGTGGAAAATATACAGCAACTGAATTAAAGCAGGCCTCTTTCCAAGCAATCTTTAATACTTAGTATCATTCCTTGATGCAAAGGCTGCTACATAGAACCTTCAGTAACAAAGTGTCTGATCGCCTAAATGTCTTGGAGAGGTACCAAGGGAACAAGCCGGTGAACATTACTTGAAGAGACCAGAAGTCTCCTGCAGCCAACATTTCCCTCACATCCTTTATGGTGGGCTATTTTCATATCATGAGAAAGTGTAATAACGTAAATCACATACTGAAGAGTCTGGATGCTGTTCCAAAAATGCCTCTGTAGACTAACTCGTCCACCCAGATTGTTTCCACCATTATGTGGGAGAATTCAGACCGGAGATGAGAAAATATTTGCTCTCCAAGCTTGACAGTTGTGATAAAAATGTGCTTAAGTCAGAGGAGAAAGCTCACTGCACACATCCTTAACTGTAGTTCCTCCAGCTAGGCAAGGGAATAATGCTGCCAGATTATGACAGCTGTTAGCATCCACAGGTTGGGGTATAAATGACTTATTTCTTAGAGGGGGGGAAAAAACCCTTTAATTCAGAAAACAATTTCATCTTAGGTTCCAAAAAGGACATGCCTGCATACTAGACCATAAATTAAATCTAATCTTACATTAGTGATAAAACTTAGCCTAACAGCACATTGCATTGTTCTGAAAATTAGACCATTAGAAAGAAAACACATGGAGGCATCATAGGACTTTCATTAGACACTATGAGCTGGGCAAGCATTCATGGAAAAATATAAAATGATTTAGCTGGATTTTCCACCCAGTTAATCAGTCCTGAAGCCAATGGAATCATTGTATAATTAAGCAGATTTCTCTAAAGAGCTCGTAACAGTTCACACTGCTTTAATAACCTGCCTATGCGTCAGAGAAGCTGAACAAAAGAGAAAGTTTCAGGACTGAAGGAAAAGTTAAGAAACACATTCTGAATATCAAGCAGTTTAAGAAATATATTAAATTGATAGCAATATTTAACATTACAGTGGCAACAAAGTTAGTCACTAGTATTTTACAGCATCAAAGTATTATATCTCATTAGTAAGCAACTTGACCATATTTTCATCTCAGTTTTGAAGTAAAAAAGCATACGAGCATGTGGTATGCATAAGAATTACTGCTATCATGCAACATATTACAGTCAAATTAATATACTATAAAAGATAATATTAGCTTGTTTCATTTAAAAGTGCCTTTTTTAACTAAATACATTGTGTATAGAATCCCGTCCTTAACAAGAAAAAAACTAAAGAAATATTGCCTGAGAAACTGCGGAAGACTAATATGTTTAGTATACATTTTATCGTTTCTATAGATCTTTAATAACACATATACCCTCAAAAGTGGAAGTTTACCACTGTACAAGAAACTTAAAGTTATTGTAGTTATGTATAATGATGTACTAAACATTATTACAAAAGGATAATAATTTAGTTATGGGAAGGGTAGACTACAAGCACAAAAATCAAACTGATAATTAAGGACAACAATGACATCTAGTGGATACTCGGAAAACAGACCCATAGCCTAACAAGGAAAAGATCCAGCTGCTGTTACTGTCACACAACGTGCAACTCCCAAATTGCTACGATGCAATTAAGAAGATAAAAACACAGAATTTGCAGCTGATGAAAGTCAAATTAACGTGACAATTCATTTTTTTAAATTAAATATTCTTTTGAAAAGGAGTCAAGACCCTTCTATTTAAGATTTACGATAAAAGTATAGGTCAAGACTTGAGAGAACATCACAGATCATTGAAAGGATATAGATAGATACATAGCACCAACATTAACAGAGCCATACATGTTTACTACACTTTCAATTCCCACTGCGTCTGCAACCTTCACTTACAAGTTGCTCTTGTTGGGACTTCAAACACTGAAAAAACAAACTGAAAACAATAAAAATCCCAAAAGTAAAAACTCAAACCACTATTTAGCACGTTCCTTTCCTTGTCATTCTGATTCTTCTGTTATTGTAATACTTGCCGTATACAGGAGTTATAAGTTAAGCCTTCCCAATATATCAGCCAGTAGCTGCTGAGCTCCAGAGAAATCTGAAACCCGGTGCTACCGTAACGCAAAATTAGCAAAAGATACCTGCTTATGAGTAATCTGATTAGTTTGCAAAGGTGGACTTCTACAAAAATCATGGATTACTTTAAATATGCTTTTACTATTTACCAAAAGTTAAAGCAGTTAAAGCAACTCAAATCTGATCTCAATTGTTCTGTCAGAGAAACTTCTGGCTAGAAGTTTCACTATGAAAAAACACTGGTTTTCACTATTACACTTTTGTAACTAAAATCTTTAACAAAACACTACAAATCTATGTCTCATTCGAAGTCTTGAACTTATCAAATGTCATATCTACAGAAATGGAAATTGGATTTTGTATCATATTTTTAAAAAAGAAAGTATTACATCCCTTCCAAAATTTCTACATCTCAGTCACTGTCCAGTATTAAAAAAAGCACTGCAAAAGGTAAGAAACTATACTCAAAAGTAAAACATCATCTATGAACATATCTGATGGTAATTTACATTAGACTTCCATTTTAAATTGCTGTCTTGCTTGCTTTAGATATGATTTTGGAAAAGTTAGTGTTGCAATTCCCCTAGCTCTCACCATCAGCAGAGGCTAGAGTCAGCTATTAGCAAATATGTACCAGATTGTCACTTACATGAAGATTCTCCAACCAGCAGAATACAAAGAAACCTTTGCATAATTGGTGATTGGGCTTTGCATCCCAATTTCTTTTTGCCAGGATCTCAAAGTGAGCTTTGAATCAGCTGCTACTAGTTAATAAGAGTACATGCAGCCTCTCAAAAATGAAAACCAAACTCCAAAGATATTTATCCACCATACACTGCTAAATTAAAACCTGTAGTTTTAAATTCTGGTTCCTAGTGAGACTCAATAGCTGAACCACCCATTCAGAGGGGGGGAAAAAAAAAAAGGAGGGGAGGGGGGCATGAATTCAAGTTAAGTCTAAAAATGCAAGTACTTAAAAGCTAAGTCTCCCTTTTGACATATGCAATGCATAGGTTTTGCAGGTATTTCAAGTGCAACCAAAGTATAACTAATTCTAAACAGTCCTGTTCTGGAAAACCCCGCGCTTTACTCCATTACAGGATCTATGTATCAAGTCTGTTATAACCATGTTGGTAACAGAGTCTGATAAAAACAGAAACCACCCTAAATTTACAAGATAAAAACTGAAAGCAAACATCAAAATTAACCCAGCCATTTTTCCCCTCCAAGGACAATGCCATATTTTACCTCCAAAAACGATTTTAATACATCAGATGTCCTAATGAGAGAGGACTATTTTAAGACGGAAAGCAAAGCATCATTGACCTACCCGGATTTCCTGGAGATTATGAAAATTATTTCCTACTCTGACAGAGATTTTGCTTGGAGTATAACTTTCATCAGATTTGTAGTCTGCATAAATACATAATGTCTTCACTGTTGTTTTTCTTCTGCAAGAAGCAAAAAAAGCCATGTAAGCGTTGTAAAGAAAAATATTCAAGATGAGTTTGTTTCTTGTTTGTAATAACTAAGGATTTAAGTCATAGAATCATAGAATAGTTGGGGTTGGAATGGACCTTAAAGATCACCTAGTTCTAATTCCCCTGCCATGAGCAGGGACACCTTCCACTAGACTAGGCTGCTCAAAGCCCCATCCAACCTGGACGTGAACACTTCCAGGGATGGGGCGTCCACAACTTCTCTGGGCAACCTGTTTTTAAGTTTTAAAACTTAATAGAAGTGTGTCTACTGATTTATAAGTGCTCCATTCTTAAAGCGACTAGGTGTTTTTCCACATTAAGTTACGCAGAGATTTGATTTTTACTGTTCTCCTTTGTCTGCCTTCAAAAGTGTCAGTATACCAAGAAATAGAACAAAAGACCAAGATGCCAAATAAGCACTTGTATGTGATGAAGCATATGTTTAGCTTATCAAATATAGGCTCTGTTACTATACCAAAGAGTCCTCCAGTAAGTAAATAGAAAAATGTGATGAACGTGAAACCTCATCTTAAGAGTTTAGTTAAAGGACCGAAAGCATCCTACACAGAATAGAATAGGAAAATGTTTCTCAATCAATCTGTTGTTAAGTCATACAGGACTACTTTTTTATAAGAACAGACATCTACCCTTCAAATTACACACACAGGCAGAAAAACGGGACAAAAATGTCATCTTAGGTAAATGTGAAACTGTTAACGAATAACATACTACTAAACATTCCTTTTTGTTGCTTATTTAGGCATTTAGTAACCATAACATTTGAAAAAAAAAAAATCTCATTTTTATAAATGTTATCTAACTGGCTTCTTGCCAGGTGGTTTAACAGGATTAACACAGGAGTCCTTGCACTTCCAAAACTCCTATCTTGGTGAACAGTAATCAATACAAAGTTACACAAAACACCCTAACCCATATAGAGTAATTTTTAATACCTAAATTGGATGTTCACCAAATGAGGCTGTGATCCATCTGACTGCCAGTAAGTTTCTAGATTATCATCTCGTAACTGATCCACTCCAAATCCTAAGAAAAAAAAAAAAAGGTGATAGTCTTGAATATCCTATTTCTGTGATGTAAACATCACAGACATAACTCTTCTACAGCTATTACAAACTAAAGTATGTATCCTAAGTTATAACACATAAAGAAGTATTTCTAGATATCCAAGTTGTGCCTATGCTTTTGTGACACAGAACTGAAACAGGGGAATCTGTCAATCAAAGCTCAGTACTCAAGGGTCTTTACATTATTATCTCCTACTGAAGTCTGTGGCATTTGAAACCATTCAGCATGTCCTAGAATTCCAAACAGTTAAGGAGTAATTCATACTAATCACAAGATCAAAACTTAATGGTTAGGCTTTTCCACCTATTCCATAACCTAACTGCTGAACTAAAGGAAAATCATTAGCAGAGACCATTCATTTATCATAAAATTTTAGCCAAATATAACATTTTCTTTTCAAGCAGTCTCCTGAATTTTTCAAATTAGTAGCTAGAACAAGCAATAGATGTCAAAAACAATATTCCTGAAAGTTAATGCTGTCACATTTAAAGAAACAACTCAAAATCTTTATTTTTCTGCTCCCTCATTATCTGTCCTTTTACTAATCACATCCTTTTATTGATTGCCCACACAGATGCAGTTCAAATTCAGCAGTTGAGGTTTAATCTGCAATAAAAAGAAATATCTTCACTCTGAAGTGACTAAACTATGTAATATTTTTCCTCCAAGTAAGGTACCAGGATATCAGACCAAAGACTGAGCACAATATTGTGACATAAAAGGATCACTGACTCTAGGCTGCAGCAAGATACCAGATCAATTCCAACAGATATTTCCAAAACAGCAACTCAATCACCTCAAATGGAAAAGAATACAGATTTTCAGATATTTTCAGCAGGTATAAGCTATCATTAACTTGCACTTCAAGTTTCATTTTACTTGCAGGATTTTAGGGAGCTACACTATAATGGTCGAGTCCACACAAAGTTTGGACAGAACAGTTCAGTCACCCAGCTGCATGGGTTTAAGTTAAAAATTTAAGATAACCAGGCAAAATGCTGAAGCATACAAACAATTACACAGTGCTGAGTGTGTTTCTGCTCACATGATTTAGTTTGATCACTGTGCAAGTAAAAAAAACAATTCAGTATAAAAAAATCAGTATGTCCTGGTTTCGGCTGGGATAGAGTTAATTTTCCTCCTGATAGCTGGTACAGTGCTGTGCTTTGGATTTGGGTTGAAAACAATGTTGATAATATATTGATGTTTTCAGTTGCTGCTAAGCAGTCAAGGACTGTCCAGCTTCTCATGCTGGCCTGCCAGTGAGAAGGCTGGGGGTGCACGGGAAGCTGGGAGGGGACACAGCCAGGACAGCTGACCCCAACTGGCCAAAGGGGTATTCCATATCATACGATGTCATGCCCAGTATATAAACTGGGGGAGTTGGCTGGGGAGGCACCACAGCTCAGGAACTAACTGGGCATTGGTCAGTGGGTGGTGAGCAAGTTTGCTGTCCATCACTTGTTTTGTATATTCTTCTTTTTTTTTTTTTTTTCTCCCCTGTCCTATTAAACTGTCTTTACCTCCACCCATGAGTTCTACCTTCCCCCTGCCCCAATGTTCTCCCCCATCCTGCTGGGGGGTAGGTGTGAACCAGTAGTGTGGTTGTTTTAGCTACCTGCCGCATTGAGCCATGACACAGTAAAAGACCTGTTTTGTTAATATGAGATATTTCTTTATTATAGGATTTCTGATATAGTTACAGCTTTCATACTGCATCAAGTATAGGCTAGGCCAAAATTATTTGTAGTGGCTACCCATACAGCTTATACTACAGCAGATTTACTGCTACACTCTGTATGTATGTCTTCTTATCAAAACAAAAAACACTATATATTCTAAGAAGAAAAATACACATTCAGCTTTTTACATGATTTGTTGTGATTTTACCTGGCTTACAGGATGAAAGAGACCAAACTGCTTGTGAGCCTATTTCTCTAACAGTACCAGTCCTCTCTAACTGCTTTGGATCAGCACCAGGTGGTGTCTTGTTTGGGGTAGTCATTTCTAGTAAAAGAAAACAAGTGAGTTAGTTGATACATTTTTAGCTTGATGGGAAAATTAAAAGGTTGTGTTTGTTCGTGTAGACACTTTAATTCTTTAGCCTCACACTTACATAATAGTCTACAGAATATGTGGTTTATACGTATACAATATACATATATGTGTATATTTTTGCATGTCTATAGAACCTTTTATTTATATCATACGTATATAAAGTAAAAAACAAAATACATATTTAAATAAGATGTTCCACATACATGTAGATTTTGTGTCCTTAAAAATTCAATACACACTTGGAACATTCATAAGACATTTTACTTGTATCATTCCAATTCATTCATACAGAGTTAGGCAGTGTTTCAGGGTTTGGTTTTTTACAGTTTTGTTTGTTTTTAAGAAATTAAAACATACCCTGTTGATTTAAATGCTAGAAATACAACTTCATTTCCCACCCTTCACATACACTTAAGAGTTTTCTTAATATGCAAGTTCAGAAGCCTATTCAGAAGCCAGAGCAAGCCTGTCCTTCTGGAAATACTTCTCCTTAAAAATAGGAAATTAGAGTTTAAACAAATCCTATAGTCTCTAATTTGGAAGGGATTGGTTATTGCCACATTTATCCATGGTCCACCTCCTTAACTTCACAACTTCACCTAGAATCATTAACCTCTGACTTGCACTGCTCAAGTAGTCACATTCAGTCTCAACACCTAGACAACTGCCATATAGGCTACAACATAATCATGCTGGGTTTCATGTTGTGTAGAGCACCTTACTACTTCCTGGAAAGTAGCTTAAAGGACTTTTTAATAAAAAAAAAATCCCAAAGAAACAGAAGTTCCATGCAAGGAACTACATTAAAGCTTAAAATTAAACATAAAGCACTCAAGAGTCAGGGAATTAGAGTTGACTTGTAATCCTTTGCTTACATGCATGACATTGTATTATGCTCTGCTAATCTTAGAAAAAGTCTACCAGTACCTGGCCGAGATAGCCAAGGAACTACTGAACTAGGCTGGTATCCACAGGATCCAGACCTTCCTTACCTGCTGCAGAAGTGACACAAGGCAGAAAAAAGATTTGCTATGTGAGAATAACTCTGCAGCTAAAAACTCTTTGTTGGACACAGGAAAGATGAATTCTGTAGCGTATATCGCTGTCCACACCAAACACTTTCTCCTAGCCTTTGCCTAAATATTCCCCCCCGCCCCAGTTTGGAAACACAGACTTGAGACAGAGTTCTGGGGTTTTTTGCTGCTTTCTCATATACAAGACTGCAGTCCCGACTACCATAAAAAATCTGAAGAAATAATGACATGCGTAGTAAAATCTAAGTACTGACAACAGCAAGTGTCACAAAAGACCACAAACAGAAAACCTTGCTCAAGCACAATCCTCTCAGAAAAGTGGGTTGCACGCTACACAGATAATACTACAGGTATCACATATATATTCATATAATTCAGATATAATCCTAATGCCACCCAATTAAAAAAAAACACACTAATGCAACAAGATGTCTTAAAGTCCTTGCCCATGCAGAAAAGTTTTGTTCAAAAACTTATCAAACTATTAAAAAAATTAAACAGGCAACCCATTTAGCCATTCCTATAAGACACTAGCACATAAATCCTCTCTAGTCACTGTTTTTAAATATTGTATTATCTGTTTTAAAACTTTTATCAGGTATTTATAATAGGCTCTTTAAAACATAGCTGTTCTCTATTGAATTGGCTACACCATAAAACTGTGTAGAACAGGTTACAGACTAGAAAATCATTTACTCTCGTTGCTATTTAATACAACTTTAAATGTATTGATAGCAGCTTCAATAAAACATTGTTCTAATCTTGCAAGAATTTAAAACAGTCTTGGAAAAAATTACAAAACACTTAGTTCACAGCTACCTGAAAAACAAACACTTTTCACAGAATTATAGAACAGTTTGAATTGGTGGAAAGGACCTTCAAAAATAATCTAGTCCAACCCCCATCCTACATCAAAATTCAAATTATGTTTATTAAGCATTGGGGAGACTATTTTCCCGAACCCATGAATTTTAAAGCTCAAATCACCTACTAGCCTAAATTTTGCACTATTTTGTTACTGTTGTGACAATGAACCAAGAAAGGTTGGGTTGCATTTATTTTAATTCTCAGATTTATATAGAAACCGATAATGCTCATCTTCCCACCTCTAAAAATATACATAGAAAATTCAACTTCACAAAGTTAAATTATTCATTTGTTACAAAACACTTCTTGAATATCAGCAACAGCAAGTCTTCACATTCCTTTTGACCTCAAGAGAAAATTAACAAAAAACTCCAAATCTTAATGTCACATCTTCATTCCTAGAAATAGCTATTGTAAGATTAATGAAAAACCCAACCTTAAGACATAAGGAGTATGCAAACATCCCATCAAAACCCACCAAAATAAGGTAGTCGCAGAAATTACATTGTACACGCATTATCTCAGAAAGTTGATTACAGATACTTTTTAGAAAAATTACTAGAATTTTAAGGTATGCATAATCCCTTGAGACAATGATGTTGAGATTTCTTATAAGCTTCGGTGCACACAGGGAAGTTCTAAATAACTTAAGACTCCCAAGATTTCTACTGCACTGGTTCACATAAGTTTGAAGCGTACATTTTGGGGATCTGAAATACACAGCAAGAAATGCCATCCAAGTTTCCTACTGTCTTAACTTGAGCCTGTTTCCTTCTATCTAACAGGTAAAGCTACTCAAAATCCAGATTTCAACTTCAAACCACTGCTGACAAATAAGTTAGCCACAAATTGTGCATTAATGATGTGAAAAGATTGAAAATCTTAATTAGTTCAACTCCTTAGTTCAAACATTAAAGTCAGTTTTTCATGACATAACTGTTTAACCAGCTTAGTAACAATACATTCTGGATAGCTTTGTTAGAAGCTTCCCAATACTCTAAGAATTTGAAAAGCAAAAAGTCAACAGAAGCACTAAAGGAAAAATAATACAGCAACAGGCCAGCTCACTCAAGTAACACTTTTGGACATTTCACTAGCAGAAGTACCAGTACCTCATTTCAGACAAGACACAAATACTTAACATTAAAAGTAACTTAAGTCACCAAGAAAAACCAAACCAAAACCAAAGCATTTTCTTACCCCAAGAAGATAATGGAATGAGAATTGGTTTTGGTTTTTTTTGTTTGGTTGGTTTGGTTTTTTTTCCACGCTGTGTAAAAGTAATCTGTCTAGAAGCCCTTCTCCTTGACATGTGCTGAAAAATGGAAAGACACACTGTATCTATAGAAGCATTGTCTGGAAACGTCTCAAATTTTCCAACTCAGCTATTCCAAAAGATCATTAATAGGTTACTGCTTCATTATTAACATTAATGTATTAATGTCTTAATGACATGATCAACACCACGCTTTCATTTTGCCACTTTCCGCTATATGGTATGCGCATCCTTTGATCAAAACAAGAAGGCAGTTAAGCTCGTTTCCCCCCTCCTCAAGCTCTTTATCCCCCAGCATCTTCCTTAGAGAAGTTTGCTCTTTTCCAGAGAAGATCCCTGTGAAGTAGTAGCCATTAAAGATGTTTTAACAAACATACACTTTATAAACAGTGAAGTGGATTTAAATGGTTCAACAGTCTACCTTTCATCATCAAAACAGACAGGTCATTCTTAGCATACCAGTGGAAGACATTTTCAAAAGGTTCATACCTGAAAGCACACCCTTCACTAAGCACACACATGCTCTTCTGAAACACACTGAAGAGGAGATAGAGAAGGATGTATCATGGTCCTTTCCTAAAGCCCCATAAAAATCCAGGCTCAAGGAAACTTTTGCAGAATCCAAAGCAGTTTTCTCCAACTAAAATTTCTAATTCCACCATGTTAGTACACATAGAATTGTTTAAATGCACACCTGTAAGGACCTTTGAGACCAGACCATCCTCAACAGATGTCTGTCAGGTCATTTAGTTCTTCAACAAAAGTTTTCACAATCTTTGTGGACAGCCAGCTTCAGTGTTTTGTCAACCTAAAAGCCAAACATTTTGCTTTAACATCCAACCCAAGTATTACCTTCTAAAAACAAGCATGATCTCTTCTCTTGCTCTACACAGAGCTCACAGACTAGTTAATCACTAGCCTTTGCATAGCAACCCTTTTATAGACTTGAGGACAGTCACCAAATTTGCTCTTAGTTTCTTCTTTTCTAGTGTGCCTATGTCTTTCAAGTTTCCCTCACAAACTGAGTTTTATAAATGTAATATTCTTGCAGAGTCTAGAGATCTACATATTATGGTTAAAAACATAGCCATACCATTTTACCTAAGGCCCTTATTCAACAGAGCAATCACTTTCCTTATCTTTATATTTAATCACACCTGTTAACACACCAAAATAACATTTGTCTAGTTGAAAGGACATCATATTATTGATCAACATTTAATTTACTATCCACTACAGTGCTTAAATGCTTTTTTTGGGATGCTGTTTGCTGTTCAGTAATACCCTTTGAACTAATTCTGCCTTTGATTTTTCCTCCCTGTATTCTCCTCCTCCCTCAGTTCTTGTTAACTGAGCTTAATTACACTAATTTCCAATCTACTACCAATCTTCTCAAGATCATTTTGAATTCTGACCCCAAGCTGTACAGTGCTTGCAATCCTTCCAACTTGGCAACATATCTATTTTGCATTCACCATCACAGAAAACAATGTAAATACATTCAAAACAGAACTCCCCAGGAGGACACTTTGTGACATCCCTGTTTAAAAGTGAATTATTTACAAGTTGGCTTCAAAAGCTATTTTTCAACTAGCTGCATAAGATCTCACAAAAATTATTTTTAGACCACATTTCAATAACTTGTTGTTAACGTCAACCCAGACAATGGCAGAAACCCTGTAAAACTCAAGACAAACCACTTATATTCCTTCCTCATTAACTGTATTGCCTACTGCAAAAAAAAATTTGATCCAACTGTTCTTAACAAAC